CCCCAAAACCCCAAAACCCCAAAACCCCGCCATCCTAGGATTTAAAAGGCTTAAGCTAGTCTTAATGTAAATAAAATTTGATAATTAAAGGATATCAGCCTATCTTGTAAATTGAGTAATAAGATTTAATGAATATATGACTCAGTTTTAATTTTTCATTAATTCTCTTCCAATAAGCCATTGCCTGATTTCTGTTGTGCCTCCTCCGATATCATAGAGCTTAGCATCTCTCACCAGTCTACCGCATTCGTACTCATTAATGTATCCGTTACCACCGTGGAGTTGCATGCAGTCAAGAGTGACCTCAACTCCACACCTTGAGTTATGGAGGAAGACAGCTGCTGAATCTAAGTTAGACTTCACTCCTGAGTCGAACATAGTTGCTGATTGATACAAATAAGCTCTACTTGCTTGCAATTTAGAATACATATCCGCAAGCTTTGCCTAGATGATTTAGAAATCACCAATCTTCTTTCCAAATTATTTTCTTTCGTTTACATAGGCAGTACTGAGATCCAAAGCTCTTTGCATTAGGCCTACTGGGCCAGCTGATAAAATAAGTCTTTCATAATCAAGTCCTTTCATTAAGACATAGACTCCATTATTAAGTTTTCCCATAACATTCTCAGCTGGGACCTCACAGTCCTCAAAGACCAACTCTCCGGTTTCTGAGCCTCTCATTCCGAATTTATCGAGTTTTTAAGCGACTGAAAAGCCCTTGAAACCCTTTTCAATAATAAAAGTTGTGATACCCTTGTGTCCAAGATCTGGTTCAGTTTTAGCATAAACAACCAGAGTATCAGCACAAGGACCGTTAGTAATCCACATTTTATTACCGTTTAGAATGTATCTATCACCTTTTTTGACAGCTTTGAGCTGCATTGAGGTTACATCAGATCCAGAATTGGGCTCACTCATGGCTAAGGCCCCAACATGCTCTCCAGAAATAAGCTTAGGTAGATATTTCTTCTTTTATTCATCAGATCCATTGAGTCTAATTTAATTGACACAGAGATTTGAATGAGCTAGATAAGATAGACCAACAGAGCCACTAAATTTAGAAATTTCCTCAGTTATCAATGATTGCTCATAATAACCTAATCCAGCTCCACCGAATTCTTCTTCAACTGTAATACCTAGAAGACCAAGATCTCCCATCTTTCTCCACAAATGCTGAGGAAAGACATCAGTCTTGTCCATTTCACTGGCAACTGGGGCTATTTCATCAATACTGAATTTTTCAACTGTTTGTCTCAATCCCTCTCTGACCTCATCAAGCCTTAATAATTGATAATAGAAGTCCTTAGATGTTGAGAATAGTCTATTTTGTTGGGTCAGAGTCCTTCTAACAAAGGTAGCTTTTGACAGTAATTTTTACATTAAGAGTATTATTAGTATTAATTATTGCGAAGAATGTGAATTTCATTTATATCGCTGGCTAAGATTTCAAGAATCTTAATCTAAGGGGTTTTGGGGTTTTGGGGTTTTGGGGTTTTGGGG